TGGGGGTGGAGCATACACCCTCGTCAAATTAGGTCTTTCATTCTCTTCCTCCTCATCACCATCCTCGCGAGGGAAGGGTTTGTCATCTCCGTAATCATCGGCATTGTTGTCATAATCATTGTTCTCTTCCTCACTCTGTGCATCTGCCAGATTCCGATTTAATATGTCGTCTTCGGGGAATTGAGTCAGGACAAGTGGTTCAACTTGCTCGTTTTCACTGCACAAACAACAAAATAATAAGCTACTCAAATTAATAAATACTTTTCATATAGTTGTATTACGTCACTTACAAGTCGTAATGTGTTGACATTCCTTGATGGACATTATCCTGTTGGTGATGACTCCCGGATGGACCACTATGATCCAACACACCAGAACTATGCATATTCCAACTGGGGGTGTGTTCATAACTTGTAAAAGTCATATCTGGCCGGTACCCCCTTGTGAAATATATGAGTGTTAATACAAGTTCAATACAACAAAAATATACATCGTAACACTAAGGAAAATTGAAGTTTACCACTCGTCTTGTGGATTATGTAAAGCAGGAGAGAAATTATTTCCTCGCTCCTCATTCCCCCGTGGTGATAAGTTTAAATCAGGCCAAACTCTTTCAGTCGGAACCTGTCCGGCAAAAACTGCTCCAGAATAACCACCCGACGACTGAATGTTATCCCTACTATACTCAACCTCATTATTGCGAACGTCTTCGACCTTGACGTACATTTCCAACATTTTTATCACAAGAAATTTCCGGTATTCATCCGGAGTCCTCAAAAAATCCCTCAAAGTTTCATCATCGTCGATGTTAAACTCAGCGTAACAAGCAACCCCTTGCGGAGTGACGGAATACAGATATCTTCCGGTTACTTTAAGGTTCACCGAACGTTTCCTCACACTCATTATTTTACATAACAACGATACCAATGTATCGTACTCCATTGTAAGTGGCAACTTAACATGACACTGTGGAGATAAACTATAGCTCACATTGTTATTCGTCACCACAACCTCACCCCCCTCCCAATATAATGAAACCCTTACTTTTCACTCTTCAGACATTATGAAAAAATTCTTGAGAATTTAACAAGAAGAAAAATTTTAACAGGAGTTACGAATATTTTTGAATGGATTTTTGTAAAATTCTAACGCCTTTAAATAAGGCAATGCCTAGCTCGGGGGGAGGTGAATTTGTTTAGGTATAACGCTCTTTTAAATGGCGCTATACCCATTTGAATTATTGTTATGTCAGTTAAATGCAAGAGACTTATTGATGGGCCCACAAAATAGGTATAACGCTCTTTAAAAAAGCGCTATACATATAACGCCTTCAATAACAACGTTATAGATGTATAACGCTTTTTTAAAGAGCGCTATAGCTTAATGTCCAAAACGTCCGTTAATGTATAACGCTCTTTAAAAGAGCGTTATACATAGATAAATCACTCTTTCTTTTTATACTTATTTCCGTCCTATATGGCAAAAAGAACCACATTTAGGTTCTGGACTCCTCGTGTGGTGTGATATATTAAAAGCTCTTGACATAAAGCTGATGCAACCTATTCGAATGGTTAAAGCTATAGATTAGTTAGAAAGCATCATTGCCCTCAAGGTTTTGGTTCAACGGTAAGGATGCAACACATGATATATGAGTTACGTCCTTGTTATAGCTTTGAGCCTTGTCTGGATAAAGCCTGGTATTTAAGTTGGGAGGAAGATAGAGGGGGGACTCTACTTTTAACCAATAAAAGAAAGTGAAGTCCTAAACTTTGCTTGTACATGTATACCCATGGTAGGTCAACATCAAGGTGGCAAGAAAAAACATATCGGTGTTACTTCTAATCTTTAGTGTAGCTTTAGCAACATTAAGGTAAAGGGGTATGAGACGATTGTAAGTGGCTTTTTAAGTCCGCCGTCAAATTTTATGGTTCAACCTTGGATAGGCGGTGGAAACTATCAAGCTGGAGTATTATGGTAGGGGCATAGAGAATTTTTGGTGGAGCAGTGAAATGTATGGAGATCGAAAAGAACACCAACGGTGGAAGCTCTTTGTTGGGTCGACACATACACTAAGAAACGGAAGTTAGGGGAGCGAATGAACTTACGATCAAATCTTAGTGGAGACAAAAAAAATAATTTCTCATATATTTAAGTGTTGGTGGATAGAGTTATTTAATATATGTGCCGGTGAAAGGTAATAAGTACTCGGTGAAATTAATCGAAGTACGTGCTAGTTCATCGGACACCACAGATACTCAATCATGGACACCACAGATACTCAATCATTGTAGTAAATACCTTTTCAGCTTCTTTAAGCGCCACTTTTGGGGCCTTAGGCATTTTGTACTTCACTCACTGTTTTGAGTACACCATCTTTCTGGATTTTTTTAGTTTGAAAATATCAAATTCCAAATGCATTATGCATCTACTTTTCTTAGCACTCGGTTCTTCCTCCAATTATCTCATTGCAGAATCAATGAGTAATAAACTTGTCAACTCCAAAGCCATATTGATTTTGAACAATCTGAAAACAATCAACTAGAGCACCATTCTTTGAACTAGAAAGACTACTGTTGAAGCCTTGGAACAAAAGTGAAGCTATCTCTGTGTGGTCTATAGGTTACATGTTCGAGCTGTAGAATCAACCACTAATATTTGTATCAGAGTAAGCTGCCTACATCAACATACCTTGGGGTGCGACCCTGTCCTAGACCCCATCAGAATAGGCTGCCTATATCACATCCCCTTAAGGTACGTCCTTTTTCTGGACCTTGCATGAACACGAAATATTTCGTGCATTGAGCTACACTTTTACATTTCTCTTTATTATAATAATATGTTGTATCGTCTTAACGATCTATATTTAAAAGTTTAAACCGTTCGAGACGAACATTTTCTATTAAAGTAGCAAGTTGTACTCACATTTCCTCTCCTCCACAGGTTCAAATTTATCAGAAGCACCAACACCATAGAAAGTGAGTTAGCTTTCATGATTGCATGTGTTCATTTCTGATGCTAGATTCCAAGGTCTTGTGGTCCACATTTCTCATAATCTTTCAAAAAGATCTGTCTCAATAAATCAGCATATTAACAAAAGTATCGACAAGAAATGTGACCTTTGAATTTTTAATTTTTTTTTAATTAGGAAAAATAAAATATCTTGGGCAAAAGTTTGTAACAACTCTTCTTGGATTGTCAAATTAGTTATCATTACGTCAGAATTAACAAATATTAAGTCACTTTCATCTCCTGCAACAAAAGGCAAGTGATGTGCTAGTTCATTTTTGTATTTGAGTATTCAACCAGTATATATATCAGTATATTCGTTTTAATAAAGTGTATTAAATGCTAGTCTAAACTGTAAATAGTTTGATGCTCTAAAAATCTTGATCAACTTCCATTTGCATTTAATTGGTAGATATCAATTTGCTACTAAACTTTGGCAAGACTTTTTGTTGAATGAATTGTATATATTCTTATTCTTGTAATTCATATTTGATCTCCAGAATAACAAATGCACTTCCAATACTAATATTCCTATAACTTCCCATGTTGCATTTAGAACGACTTTTTTAAATATATTTAAACAAAATTAATTTTAAACTTTTTATTTTACCTTATGAGATAATTTATAGTTATACAAATATTTATTACTACCACCAAAAGTTATGGTGGGATAGATAAGATTCCTTCACCCTAGAGGTTTCGAGTTTGAGTTCTGAATATGGAAAAAAGCTGACACGGGGCGTTTGTCACTTTAATAAGCGCTACACAGTGCGAATCAAGATTAGTCGAGCCCAAAATAGGTATCAAACACCAAACGATAGGTCTCGAGTTCGAGTCCTGGGTATAGCGTCGCCTTGATTAGAGAGTACTTTATTACTCAATGTGGGCCTTCTCGGCGCAAATCTAAATTTAGTCGGACCTCAATACAATTACCCAATACTGGGTGAAAAAAAATAAAAAATATATTTATAATAGTATAAAAGCACAAATTTTAGAAAGCGGAAGAGTGTAACTTAGAAATAGGACAAAAGATTAATCATTACTACAAAATAACACATATAAGTCTAATTTAATTCTTTCTTCATAGGCTTTGCCATATCCACTGCTTTCTCTTTCTCTTTCTCTTTGTTTATCTCTCTCCTCCCTCGCCGCCACATATTCTCCTACACACATTTCGCTTCAATGTCCACTAATTTCCTCGGATCACCACCACCCCTTTTCAAGAATGTAATCTCTCCTTGTAATAAACTCTCCACTTTCACAATAAGAGCTTGTTTACATTCTTGTGAGCCCAAAATTGATGATCATATCTACAACAACTACACTAAATACTGCACTCCCAATTTCCCAAATCATGTTTCTCAGACACCCATTTCAGAAAAACAGCCAAAAACCAACAAGAACCATACAATTTTGGACAATTTTGCAAAAGATGATGATTTGTGGCTAAAAATGCAAAAAGAGGCAAGGTTAGATATTGAGCAAGAACCCCTTTTGTCAAATTACTATAAAAATTCAATCTTGGCTCATGATTCTATAGAAAGTGCTTTAGCTAACCATCTTTCAATGAAATTGAGCAATTTGAGTATTTCTAGTGAAACTCTATATGATCTTTTCATGGGGGTGCTCACAGAGGATCAAGAATTGATTTTTGATGTTAATGCTGATTTGATAGCTGTTAAAGAAAGAGATCCAGCTTGTATTAGTTATATACATTGTTTCTTGAATTTTAAAGGGTTTTTAGCATGTCAAGCACATAGAATAGCACATAAGTTATGGTCTAAAGGGAGAAAGATTTTAGCTTTAGTAATACAAAATAGAGTATGTGAAGTTTTTGCTGTGGATATTCATCCTGGAGCAAGAATTGGTAGAGGAATATTATTAGATCATGCAACTGGAGTTGTAATTGGTGAGACAGCAATTATAGGAAATAATGTGTCAATTTTACATAATGTAACATTAGGTGGAACCGGAAAAATGTGTGGTGATAGACATCCAAAAATTGGTGATGGTGTATTAATAGGTGCAGGGACTTGTGTTCTTGGAAATGTTAGAATTGAAAATGGTGCTAAAATTGGAGCTGGTTCTGTTGTGTTAATGGAAGTTCCTGCTAGAACAACTGCTGTTGGAAATCCAGCTAGATTGATTGGTGGGAAAGCAAATCCAATTAAGCTTGATAAAATTCCTAGTTTGACTATGGATCATACTTCATATTTATCTGAGTGGTCTGATTATGTAATTTAGACCTAGGTTTGCTATGTACTGTGTACTTAGAGATCAAATATAATATGTTTCTTTTTATTTCTCGTGAGCCACTTATTCATTTTTGTCGTTTCCCCCCTAAGAAGTTGAATGTGTTATACGATTTGGACACTTCAAATAAACTTGAGTACGTATAGGATACGCTAATGCTAAAACCTTTTCTCAAGATATCTTTCAAAATATTCGGATTGTTGCTTCGAATCTTGTTTTCCTAGTGTGAAACTAGTTGGTTGCCTATTTTTCTAAATTCCATATAATCTACTAAAGTAAATCGGTATTGACTACGTATTAAAAGCAGATCTTGATCCATGGAGTCTCAAGAAGGTTAGTACTCCAACTTGTCCGATGCTCTTGCACCCAAATACCATATATAAGTGGAACTTGCACTACACAGAGATTTTGATACAACCTTCTGTCTTCTCTTCCTTTCTCATGACGTTATCTCACGTCGCCACACAATCTAGCGATGGGGAAACGTCTCCTCTCCTATGCTTGAGAACCCGCGTGTGATAGGATTACTATATTCTAAGGACGTTAAAAAAAGGCAGCCCGATGCACTAAGCTCCAGCTATGCGCGAGATCCGGAGAAGGGCCAGACCACAAGGGTCTATTATATACAGTCTTATCTTGCATTTCAGCAAGAGGCTGTTTCCACAGCTCGAACCCGTGACCTTCTGGTCACTTGACAACAACTTTACCAGTTACGCCAAAATTATTTTTATAAGTCATGTAATAGAGAGGCGGAAAGGTGGAATATTTTTTGCTACTTTGGTAGAGCAAACAGCCCTTAAAAGTGAAAAAATATTAAGTATCTTTTTCCCTATTCTTTTACAGTGTTTTCATTTGGTAGATTAGTAAATGGTAGAATCCATGTTCTCCTAGGAGAAGAGACATTTCCTCCAGTTGATGTGTTATACTAGCCCTTATGAAACTCTTTTACTATTTGCAAATATTTGAGGGGTAACATTTGCATATATTTTTGGCTCTAATGCCCTTTACATCCCTATAACTAGTAATGCCCCACATTATAAAATTTCAAGTGGGATTAAAAAGTTTTTTTAATCTAGAAGATGGAATGAAAAATGATATTAATCTGAACTTAGGATAAATCAAAAGGACCAAGTTATTATTTTGGGAGAGGGACATCCAACCTTGTAGATAAATAATGTTCATCTTTTCTTTAAACACTGGCTCTTTTAACAAAAGTCACACTTAAAATTTAGTGAAGTGAACTTCAAGTTTTGGCTATTACTTGACATTAATGCAATCTCAATAGCTTTACATAGCATATATACTTAACAAAGAGTTTAGGAAGATACAATCAATCCTTCTGGCTACCAAAAGCAATAGGGTCTAGACTCTGGTTCTTATCAAAAAGTTTGTTAGATAATCAAAGTTAAAAATGACACATAACTTATCAGTGCTTATGCACCAAATTTTGCTTGGCGAAAGACGCTAAAAATCTCTAATGATGCTTGTCCTACTGATATTACGCCCAAGAACATCTTCATTAATGGTCATCCATGCATCAGACATCATTGCTTCCAATTTCAAAAGCTCGCTTTTGAGCCCTGAAGGAGATGTTGAACTATATTACTATCTCATCTAGAAATTTAAATCGTTAGGAAGAACACACTTTTGATAACTTAATTACATGTCTTAGTACTACCCTCACTCGCGAGCCTAATTCTTTTCCACATGTCAAGCACGTGAAAATCTATGGTCTGTCCTGATATCATGTTAAAGTGGATGACCATATCATTCAAAAGTTTAAATTGTTAGCGAAAGTCATTGCTGCAGAATTTACAAGGCTTAATCTTCTAGATGGTGGTGTGTTTGCAAGTCTAGCGAAAAGCAAATTGTTCCAAAAAACACTAAGGGAAGGTGGTGTGTTTGTTGTCCCTAGAGGACTTCTGCACTACCGTTTGATCTCTAGTTTCGAGTTGGCTACATTTTTCCAAGTGCTAAGTAATCAGAATTCTGGAGTTGTGAGTATATTAGAGGCCATGTTTGTACCAATTGATTCAAACACGAAAGTGTTAATGAAGAAGCTGACCTCTCTTTCAACACGGGGAAAGAGCAGATCCAGAGTGTGACACTGTTTCCTTATTAGGTTTCTGATAACAAATTAGTTCAGCAATTCTAAATATGTACAATTTTTATCACTTGCACTTTTGTTGCTTCATTTTGAATGTTTGAGATGCCTAATATTAAAAGAAGAAAAAACGTCGGATGGACTGGAATAGGAAAAATTACCATCAAAGGTTGTGGTGAAATTGTACTGTAAGTACTCTTCATCCTTAAATATTTATATCGGGTTGATGCCGGTGGTATGTAATCGTATTTGTTAGGGATCATTTTACCCCAAATCGGGACCTCCCAGCGTGAATTCGACTTAGTTGGATCTCAAAATAAATATCGAATACCGAATAAAAAACAAAAAAAGAAAAGAATGGATAAATGCTATGTTGTTTTACTCATTTTTTACATTTTCATTCCTTTTGTTTCTATCACAACCAATCAGCCCCTCATTGCATAGTTTCGATATGGTAAAGAAAAACAACTTTCTAAGTTTAAATGGTAAATGGAATTCTTAAAGGTTGGATGACAAAGTGACACATTATATATGGGGTAAAAATTGGATTTTGCCAAATTGTTATTTATTATTGGGTCGATCTTGAGGAGTTTATATATCAATTATAATCTATGTATAATATGTGTATAATCATTATATAATGCTATTTATGTAAAGGTACTATGTTTTAAATACCTCGTTTATTTTTATACGAGGTGCTGTTTAGTTACTTCGACCGACTCCTGTTCTTCAAAGAGTTTATTTTAGTAAAAATTTAAAACCCAACAATAAATTCATTCATAGTTTTTCTTTAAATTTCTAAGTTCTTTATAATTCAATTTCGGATTTAATCAAATGATGTTTATCCGACAAGCATTTGTTAATTTACTCGCAATATGAAGAATTTAGGTATAAATTGCTCCATTTGATAGAATTTAAAGCTAAAATAGTTCAATTAGTGATGATATGAAGTTGCTGACAGCTAAAAACTAGTATGTGTGAGCTGCCAGTATGAAGAAGCTCTTTTTTTCCGATCTTTGTCACATTTGATTTGTTGTATAGTAGTTATAACTCCTTGAGCCGGGTCTATTAAAAATGGGCTCTCTACCTTCGAGGTAGGGGTAAGGTCTGCGCAAAGGCGGATTCAGGATTTGAAATTTATGGGTTCCTACCGTAATTTCAAATTAATATACAATAATAATTGGGTTCACAATTAGATATTTATAAATATTTAGAGGACTTCTTAATAGAAATACAACGTCTATGCAAAAGTTATTGGGTTCCGAAAAATCCAGTAACAATACTCTAGATCCGTCATTGGGTCTGCGTACACACTACCGTCCCCAAATCTCACTTGTGGGATTATATTGGGTTTGTTGATGTTGTTGTATAGTAGTTATAACACAATTCACATGGTTGATGACATGTGTAACCAGAGGCGACACCAAAATTTGAACCTTATGGGATCGGGACTCTAGTCCATTTAAGTTACTGTGTTTTAAATTAACAATTTATACATATTCAATGATATCTGGGGGATTTGCATCTATACCTAGTTTTTGAGTCACATTTTAACTTATACCCGCTTTGCAAAAAAAATTACAAGCGTACCCACTTTTCGAGTAATTTCAGACATACAGGCCTGCAGTAGCAAAAATTTATGTCTAAAGTTTGAACTTCAGAATGTTTTGCCTGAAGTGTAGCCTTATCAAAGCAAAACTTCAGATATTTTTGCCTGAAGTTTGGCCTGACTTGCAAAGGCAATCACGCAAACTTCAGTTTTTAGTGCAATGACAAACTTCAGTTCAATAAAACTATAGCATGTTTTGGCCGAAGTTTTTGTTTTGTAATTGTTGAACTTCAACATTCTAGGAGCTTAAATTTTATTTTGTAATTGCTGAACTTCAGCATTCTAGGAGCTGAAGTTTTGTTTTGTAATTGCTGAATTTCAGCATTCTAGGAGCTAAGTTTTGTTTTGTAATTGTTGAACTTCATCATTCTAGGAGCTGAAGTTTTGTTTTGTATTTCCTGAATTTCAGCATTCTAGGAGTTGAAGTTTTTGTTTTATATTTGTTAAACTTCAATAGTCTTAGAGCTGAAGTTGTCTTCTGCCTTTCTTTGAAGTTAGATGGCTTTAAAATATAACTTAAGCCAAATTGTGCTGAAGTTTTAACTGATTTTTTTGATAATGTTCTGAAATTATTTTTCCTATCTTTTATTTTTCAGTTCTGCAGCCCTTTTCTGTCGTTTTCCCTGCTGACGATATCATAAAGCAACGGGTAAGCTAATTTCAAGAGATCGCGAGAGCAACTATTGTGTATAATAAATTTCACATGCATGTGCCATTCTCGTGGCAGGTAACTTGGAAGAGAGGACATATAGCAGTCAATTGATGTTGTATGTTTAAGAAGAATGGATCAGGGAAAGACACAAATCACACCTACTTTAATCAGCTTGTGGAGTTTTATTTACTCATCCTTCAACATAGAATATGGTAGTTGATAATTTAATAAAAACTTTACAGATCCAATTAATAATACTTATACAAAGTCTCATGTGTTTGAGAGAGAAAAGAAGAAGAGGAAAAGAAGAGGAGGAAGAAAGGAGCGCATAGGTCAGGAGGAAGAAGATGAGGCGTCTGAAGTTGTCAAAATTAGGGTATAGGTTAAAGAATTTTAAAAATATGGGTATAGGTTAAATTGGGGCGACCAAATAGGATGCCCGTATAATTTTTACTTGATATCTTAAGAAAAATATAGGGTTTAGGCAAAAAATAAAGGGTTTGACTAAACCCGCAAGACCTATGCTAGCTCTGCCAGTGTGTAACCATATTTTAAAATGATATGTTCAAAAAGGTATCACTTGAAAGGGTGCGACTTTTCATGAAAGCATGGTTTATTAAAATTACTGTTAGTAAAAATGTGTCTCCGTTGGCCAATAAATAGTACTCCGTTTGTGTCAATTTAT